TGTAGATTCAAAATGTTACAATGTGATTATTTTCTTTGAGTTTGTAAAATTTGTGGTTTACTTGTTATCACCAAATCAAAAGATTTCATTTCAAATTAATCATGAACAACCATAATACAAAAACAATGTGATTCTTTTATTACCCGTAAAATGTTAACAACACTCGGATTTGATAATTGACCTCAAGAAAAGGGGGGGGGGGGGGTTCTCTCCTCCATCTATTATTACAATGTAGTAAAAATGTAAATTCTGTAAGGTGGGTAACTAAATATCAAGAGTACATTAAAAATAATATCAAAAAAGTTTGTGAAATTTAATTTTACAAAATTAAAGTATGATTTGGTTTTAATACATAGTTTCATCAATATTTTTTGTGTCTAATTATACATATTGTCGTTCAGTGACAAACTAAATTAAGCCTGTTACTGGATAAAAAAAAAACGTTACCCACAGTCTCACTGTAAAAATAACTTGATGTCCTTTGACCTTTAAATGCTTGGATTTAAATATGGAAGGATTAGATAACATGAACTTGAAATTCAGTTTTAAGAAATTTATCACTGAGTTAACAGAATTTTCATTAATTGTACAGTGTTTTGTTGAATTATTGGGAATTTGAATAACGACTGTATATTGCAATCTTGAAATTTTTAATCTGTTTTATGTATAGTCACTCTGTATTGGTGTAATTTTTCTTATAATCAAGTTTTTAGTTTTATGGATCATGGGAGTCTATTGGCAGTTAACAAGTTGGCTCATGGATTTATCAGATACAATAAAGTCCAAGCAATATAATCTTATTACAGAGGCATTTGTGAATGGGTATGAGCTAATATACCCAACGTGATTTCATTTTAAATTATTTTCAAATCAAATTGCACATATTTTCCGGCTGAATTATCTGCACAAGTTGATGCAAGTCATGAGTGCATTTGTATGCTGCTTTAATTTGCAAATTGAAATACGCTTGAATATTCTGAAAATAGAACCCAGCTTTGTATCATTTCTCACTGCCTCACTCGTGTTCCAACTATCATGGGACCTCTGACCTCTGACCATTTAAACTGTTTCAATAATAATTAGCCAAATTCTCCTCTTTCCAAAACTTGCTATTTCAAAATTAACGATTCATGACTTTGTCTGCCTCCAATGCACACAGACTTGCTCTGTCTTCTGGTCATAAATTGCTAGCATTTGAAGCCATATTTCAACAGCATTGGCAGCACTTTTTGATCAAGTCTCAATTATTGGGTTTATCCACAATGTGTTGGGAGAGTGTATTAGTTTGGTGTCATAATCTAATGCACTTGCCACTGCTTAGAGTTTTCATGTGAACATTGTCTCACTAAACTTGTACCAAAAATGCATTTTTCGGAACTTAGAATACCGGTATACTACATTATGGTTTAAAACTCATATTTCATCTGTAAGTGGTATTATCAATATTTTCTGTGCATTTGTTTGGATTATAACCTTGATTTGCTTCATACTGATCTTAAACCTCATTAAGTGGCAAGTGTTAATGGATTTCTAAACTACAGTATATTTATTTAATTTCAAATATTGAAATCTCTGTATTTGTCCAGTTATTATATTAAACATAGGAAAAGTGTACATTTAATATTTCAAACTTTGTGTTGTTTGATTCAGTGAATGTTCTGTGAACGATATCAAGTCTCTTCAATGGATGGTATTTTTACAATCCAGTGTAGGGTAAGACAAAATTACACAATTGACCATTCTTGCCAATAGTTTTAAAACTCTGAATGTGAAAAATGAAACTTGTTTCACTTCTATCAACAACTCAACAAATGATTATAACCACCAACTACAGTTTGTTCTGAAATTTCACCTTTAGGATGTTTGATTTATGTTTTGGTCATTGCGTAAACTGCCTCTAGCCAGCTACTTAGGCAAGTAGCATTCGCATTGCTGCTGTTTGTACTCTGACGACTCAACCAATATCAGCAGAGAGGTGCCTATAACGTGTTGTGATTTGGTTGCTATTTAAAACCTGTGACATCTGATTGCTTGTATAGGTGGCACTGGCACTTAGAATTCAGTGACTACAGCCACTACATACATCAGTTATTAATCAGATTTTGTGAATTCCTTGCTCAATATAAACTCTCACTGTGCTATGTAAAGAGAATCAACAATAAATAACCCAACAGGTAAGGTGAAAAACACTTGAAATAATGCACAAACTATGACAAGACTTGTTTCTGGTGAACATCCTTCATCGGAATGACAGTGAATGAACGCCCAGTGTGTTGTAATTTCATGTAAATGAAGTATTTTTAACACATTATGTACTTTGCAGAGTCCCATATTGAACACGATGCTTTCGCCTACTTACTTTTTTAGTCATTCATTATTAACTTTATTACATTTTAAACACCAAATTAGAAATGTAAAATTTTCTACACGGTTGTAATAAAGCTGTTATCTTATCTATCTATCGATGCAGTGCAAAAAACATCGCCCTCTAAAACATGTCCATGCTGCCCAGCAAAGCAGAATGCTCAATTGAGAGATTTTCTCCAGTTTGAATTTGAGCTTGCACAGCTGTTGACCTTTTGTGCTATTGTTTGATTGTCCAATTATATCATGAATATTCATAGTTGATCATCTGTCTAAATTTAAGTATGCAAATTATATGAGAACAATAACCACAATTGACCAATTAAGGTCAGTGTTGTATACGTGTATTGATTATGCATTACCAAATATTTAAGGGGTTGTTTTAGCATATTCAATAGAAGCATGGTTCCATTACATTTTATGGAAAACATTGTCGGGGGTCGGGATGACTGGGATGGAAGAAAAGAGGGGATATTACATAAATTTTTGTTGGGATTTCTACATGGACAGCAGTGTAATGTATTTGGAGGAGGTAAGGAGGGTGGCACCAACACCCCTTAAAATATTACTATGTATGTTGCTGAATGTTTTTGTAATGTATATCTAGGTGGTTAGAAGCAGTGTGTTTTAAGTCGGATAAGGTTCTACTTTATTTTATCTCTGACTTTATATTCAAAAAGAGAGTCCTCATAAGTCTTTAGTGTACTTGTGTAGTACAAATGATGGTCCTGAGCAGCCAATCACAAGGTCATTGGGAAAAGGAATTGAATTTCATACCGTTGGTTAAGTGCTGGTATCAACACATTCCTCTGATTACCACACTACTGTAATGTACAACCAACTCCTATATCAACTGAGCTTATTTTTATTCTGGGTTTCCATGCAACTTTGCCAACTTTCATCACAACTTCCCATACATCTGTTCTTGCAACTTTACCAAATGCCATGCAACTTCAACTTTTCATACACATTCACCAACTTTCCATTCAACTTTACTAATTTTGCACGCAAATTTACCAACTTT